ACTGTTGCCTCAGCTGCTGGTGACTGTTGCCTCAGATGCTGCTGACTGTTGCCTCAGCTGCTGCTGACTGTTGCCTCAGCTGCTGCTGACTGTTGCTCTCAGCTGCTGGTGACTGTTGCCTCAGCTGCTGGTGACTGTTGCCTCAGCTGCTGGTGACTGTTGCCTCAGCTGCTGCTGACTGTTGCCTCAGCTGCTGCTGACTGTTGCCTCAGCTGCTGCTGACTGTTGCCTCAGCTGCTGGTGACTGTTGCCTCAGCTGCTGGTGACTGTTGCCTCAGCTGCTGCTGACTGTTGCCTCAGCTGCTGGTGACTGTTGCCTCAGCTGCTGCTGACTGTTGCCTCAGCTGCTGCTGACTGTTGCCTCAGCTGCTGCTGACTGTTGCCTCAGCTGCTGCTGACTGTTGCCTCAGCTGCTGGTGACTGTTGCCTCAGCTGCTGCTGACTGTTGCCTCAGCTGCTGGTGACTGTTGCCTCAGCTGCTGCTGACTGTTGCCTCAGCTGCTGCTGACTGTTGCCTCAGCTGCTGCTGACTGTTGCCTCAGCTGCTGCTGACTGTTGCCTCAGCTGCTGGTGACTGTTGCCTCAGCTGCTGCTGACTGTTGCCTCAGCTGCTGCTGACTGTTGCCTCAGCTGCTGCTGACTGTTGCTTTATTAACAGCATCCACATTAATGTTCTTTATGAGTGATGTGGTTTTTATTTAATGTCAGTGATTTAGTTTATAATCTTTCCTTGATGTAATATTCATTTGTTCCAGAAATAAATCTGCTGGAAGAGCTTTTGGTTAAAAGTCTGGAACCAGACCTTTAAACATAGGTTAATAAGGAAAAAAATGGATTTGTTTTTACTAGTGGGAGAACTGGACCTACCTCGCATGGGCCAGTAGGCCTGCTGCCTTGTTCCTTCTTTCTTATGGTCTTATAACAGTATATAATGAAAATCATTATTCTGACTCATCATTGTTGTTTGACTAAACGAGGCAGGAAATGACCGAGCATTTCTTTTATCACTAAATTGCATTATACTCCTCAGTGAAGTAACTTGGCGACTTTCATTCCAGTAAGGTTAGATGAGCATTTTTGTAATGTCGTCAGTGCGTCCTTGCGATTTTTTGTATCAGAATGAAATCTTTAAATGCTTCAACAAGCATTTCGTGACGAAGCAATGGGTAGGACAGTATTCTGACTGATTTGCTCGATTCAAAGCCGGATGAATGTCAGTTGAGGATGATGAACACTCCAGTCGTCCATGAACATCAAAAACAGTTGCAGGCATTAATAAAGTGAAGAAGATTATTCACAAAGTTCGTCAATCAGGACACTGCAAGTGCTGTGGGAATTTTTCATAGGTCGTGTCAAATCATTTTGACTGAAAATTTGCATATGAGGCTATTGGCTGGGAAATTTGTAATCCCGCTGCTGACTCAAGACCATCGTTTTCTGGCCAAAAACAACATGGCGGTCATCCCTCCCTCCCGCTGCTTCCTAGACCTAGTTCTGTGTGATTTCTTTCTTTTCCCCAAAATATCAAAATTGTACACACGTGGAGGAGAATCACAGGCCGTGCTAGACACCATTAAGAAAGAAGAGTTCCAGATATGTCTCGAGAAATGGGAGAAAAGCTGAGAACAGTGTATAGACTTTCAAAGAGAGGACTTTGAGGGCGACAACTTGTATATAGGCCTCTTGTATATAGGCTCAGTCTCTATTTTATATTTTAAAGTATTCATGAATGATGTTGAATAAATGACATACATCCTTAATGCTGCTCGTTTTATCAAATGGTTTAAAACCCCTGTTAACCAACTGTTAACTATTAAACTCCCATTAACCAACTATTAACCATTAGCTTCTTTACATGTCACAGCAATTTTCAAACACTTTCACCTCACCTATACAATCACTGTCTTACTAGAAGTGTGTTGACATCACTGTTCGGACAGCCTCCCAACTGTGAAATCCCTACTTCCCTTTCCGAGTACATTCACTTCCAGGACTCAAGTTCGGCTAACTAGTTTCCCTGAATCCCTTCATAAATGTTACCCTCCACACACTCCAGTAGCAGGTCAGGTCATAAAAAAAAACTTGACTACACTCATTCCTATCTAATGTCCTGGATATCAAAGCCTCCTTTATCCCCTTCCCTCCAACCTTTCCTGGGATAACCCCTGACCCTCCATCCCTCCACCCCAGATTTATACACCCTCCTAGTCATATTATTTTGCTTCAGTTTCTCTACATTTTCAAAACCTCTTAACAACCTTTCCTCAGACGTTCAAATAATATTTTAGTTAACCACACCTTTTTCTAATCTTCAAACTTAGAATTCCCTGGGTAATATTCACGTCACACATTACAATTAAACACTACATTCCCACCGCCTCCACTGCTTCAACTTATAAAATCCATGCTTTATACTCTTATAAGAGAATTAGTACTACTATTCTTTCCACATTTTCTTTTTTGCCTCCATGGATAGAGTTCTTTGTCTTTACGGTTGTCTATATGATCGACTCACCTTCTTTCCTTCGTTACTTTTAGGATTTCCCTCATGTCACATCGGCACATGTGCCGACAAGTCCACCCAAATATCTGAATCCTTTTGTTTTCTCAATACTTCCTTCCTCCAATCGGATATCAAGTCTTTCATTTCCTAGATTTATTTTTTACACTCATCACTTTGTTCTTTCCTGTGTTCACTTTTTTTTTTTTTACATACTCTCTCAGACTATTCCACCAACCCTTACAACTTCTCTTCAGAATTTCCCCCCAAAACCGTAGTATCGGAGGTAGCAACCGCAACATCTCACATCCCAACATTCACTTCTTTTATAATACCATCTATAAATATATTAAACACCAATGGTGCTACCAAACTTTCCTGATTAATTTAGCTGGAAAAGAATCACTCTCCAACATACCCTAACCATTGCCTCGCTATCCACATGAACACTCTTTCCTGTTTAAAGTAACCTACCACCCATCCCATACATTTGCAACCTCTATCACATTGCTTCCCTAGCCACCTAATCATTGTATTGCTCACTTATGTTTTAATGTGAACACTTAGTCTACAAATACCCGACCCTTTCTATAACCTCCTTCCTTTATGGTCCTAATTTTTGTCTTACCCTTAATTCTTTGAATAATAATTCTACCCTACACTTTACCAGGTATATTCAGGCTTTTTGCACATTCCCTTTTATTTTTTCCTGATTTAAAACAACTGTGCATGCTCTCTGCCAATCGATACCCTCTCTCGTCTTTCATGCATATATTAAGCAAATGTACCAACCAATCCTAAACTGTTTCCTCAACTGCTTTCAACATTCTTGTTTTGATTCCAGCTATCCCAGTGCTTTACTCCCTTTCATTTTATTCATTGCCTCTTGCACTTTTCCCCTCACACTCATCTGGCTCTTCCTCACTCCTTGTTTTATGCGTGTAAACACTGACTCTTTTCTTCATCAACATCTGACTAGTCATGATATTACCTCCATCATCCTAGTACCGTCACCTATCTATCAAGTGGTTCCCATCAAATATTTTTAATTATTAAATCCATTTGTTCCATAGACTTTCTCAACTTACTGATCTCACCCCTAAACCTTTTCTTATTCTCAGCAAATGTTTTTAATGCAATTTCACCCACTCTCTCACTGGCTCTTATTTTGCACTCCCTCGCCAATTTTTAACTTCTCTTTTTCTCTCCATATACTCTGTCCTCCGTATATCACCTCCACACTGTAATAACCTTTCATATGAAAACTTTTTCCCATACTACCCTTCTTATCTCGTCATACCTTCAATCATTTCTTGCTTCTTGGCTTCCTTCTCTCAGGTACCCACAAACTTCTAACGTACACTCTAATACTGTGTTCTTACACCGAACTCCTTCGACCCTCTCCTTATTACCTATACTCTTTCCAGTTTACCTTTTTCCCCTGTAGCCACTTATATCTTACCCTAATTTATTAACTTTTACCTCACTTTAACTCCTTATCCCCAGTCTACCTCTTACTCTCACTTTAGTCACCAATAAATAATGATCGGATATATCTGTTGCCTCTCTAGAAATTTGCATATCCTGAAGTCTACCCTTCAGATTTCTATCAACTAACACATAGACTAACTAACGGCTACTATTACACCCTTCGTCTTGGTCTTATGTACTAATTTATTCTCTTTTTCTTTCTTAAATTATTTATTTTCTATTCGATAACCTCTTTCTCAACATTGTTCAAGTGGGAGAAACAATTCTAAGGAGCGTAGTAAACCAAGTTTGCAGAGTCAGGGAGATTTAATAATGGGTAGCCATTGTTAAATCTCCCCGACTCTTCAAACTTGGCTTACTACGCCGTCAACATGACCGCGGGTTCAATCCCGGCCGGGGGTATGGCTTACTACGCCCTCTAGAATTGTTTCTACCATTTAGTATTAGGTCGTAATAAAAAATAACTCTCATTTGGTTCAAAACTTTCCAAACAATCATTTAACACCTCCCAAATCTCTCTCTCTCTTCTCCCCTCTATACACTTTTCTTCCCCAGGGGCATAAGCACTTGCTAAAACTTACTTCCTTCACTCCCTTCCCACGTAATTCTTGAATTTTATGCCCCTGTACCCCCTTATCTCCTCTCATTGGTGATCATTTAATATTGCTGCGTTTGACTACACAGATATTTGTTTCTCTAAATGTATATGCACAGAGCTGTTTATCTCTGATTGTGTGTATACGCTGTGAGATGCATATATCTCAAAGTCTGTATTCCTAGAGGTTTGCATTTCACAGTATGTGTACATTGAATGGAGTATAGCTGTCACTATATATCTAACTTTTTTCATCTTTATTTGTGTTGATGATTAGAAGTGTTCGGATGAACTGCCATGTACAGTCGATAGGTTTCAAGAAAAGGAATATTATTAAAATATATTTATATGAAGTATTAGACCCATATGGGTCAATAAGCACAGCCCTAACAAACTGACTGGTTCTCTCTACAGGTGGGCGTCTTCCGTCGTCCTTCAAGATGCGTATATCGACAGATGTGACGGACCTGGGCCAAACTACAGATTCTGAGACACGAGTCAACGCCAAGTCATCTGTGTGTGTGTATACTCCGGCAGCTCCTGTCTCCACAGAGCTCTCTCGCTATGTCCACGGGACTCCTGAGAGAAGCAGACAAGAGACTGATAATGGTCCTGAAGAGTCTTTGCTGGCCACACTCAATGGTGGTGAGGGAATCCACATGACTCTTTCATTGCAGGATTCATCTGAGGTGTTTCACGAGTATTCGGATCCCGGGGCGATGGAGCTTGTGCCACTGGAGGAGCTCACAACTACTCTTACCAACACCAAGAAGTCTTCCAGCCGTAAGAATAATAAAAAGAAGAACTTCTCGGACAACCGTTACGATTAAGACGAACCAAAACGCCATCTATAGTTTCTTTCCCAGTGTGTATTAGATGTTGATTTCTGGATGATACAACTCTGTATTGATAGGCTTTCAGAAAGTAATATGTAAAGTTTCAAACAGTGTATCTAAAAATGCACGAAATATGAAGTGTCCAGAAAATTAGATGTGGTCCACTTGGGACATTAAATTATCAGCTGAAAGTTTATTTAAAAATATCAACGTTTCTCTCAATTTTCAAACAATCAAGAACTTTATTGAGCGTTATATCATATTAATCATTTAACATGATTAATTGGGCTGAAGTAAAATTTGCTCATGTTCATGAAACAATTTATGATACAGTGAATGAAAAGCCAGCATAATAACTGATGCAGGAGCTGGCTGCCTCTCCTGGTAAGCTCGAGGGTTCAAGCCAGTGTTCTTGTTTATCATATAACACACCACTGAGAACCTGCGATCATCTCTCTCTTGCGTTGACAGAAGTATGGTACTTAAAGATGGTAACCACAAGATGCCTCCGAGAGGCAAGTGTCAGATTTATTTTTTGCTTCGCAGCAACTACGCATTTACAACTATAACATCGAAAAATATATGAAACTCGACCACCATCATTTCCTCTGGCGCATTCTTGTTCAACAATTTAATATCCATTGATCCATCTGATCCGTTCCTCCCACGAAATTGTTCAGTTTTCACTGCTTATGGTTGATTTTGTGGAATATTGGTTTTCTTATCCATGGAATTCCTTTGTTCTTCAGATTTCCGATGATTTAAAATTAGATGCTAAAATCAGTTCATTATTGGCTTTTTTATCATTACTTACGTTGAAAACAGAAACTCTATTGAATATCTCTTATTTTTCATCAGGTCCAAAATTTCATGAGTAGTCTACCTAGAAAAATAAATATCATAAGTAATGGATAACTAAATTATAATGAACACCTGCCAATGTTCAGTAATAGTCCGAATGGAGAGAGAAACTCAGAACATTAATTGGTCTGTATATATCGATCCCCTTCTGGTATCCTCTTCAGTAGATTCATAAGTGAAAGGAGAGCATAAATATATAGGGAAGGTTGCACCTCGCCCCATACTAGGGAGTGGCACTTAGGGAGACGTGTCAAGTAGTGAGTAGATGAGAAGACAAGAGTTACCCAAATTTTTAGCTTTACCTCAGGTCTTGTCTTCTCACCAACTCTTTACTTGACACTTTCCCCTCTCGTACCAATTCCTTGTACAGAATAAGTTGCACTTACGTATCTGCTGAAGAGGATCCCAGAAGGGGATCCAAATATACAGACCAGTTAATCTTCTCAGTTTCTGTCTCCATTTGGGTTATTATTGATCATAAATAAAAGATCGTCATGAATTATGTAAGATTGATAAAAAATATTTGAAAAAACAATTACCATGCACAAAACAATTTTCAGATATGCGCTACTTTTCGCTTCCTGATCACTTTGTCCCAAACAACATATGTGTAGCCACGTGTGCTATAATGGACAGCGTCCGGTGAATTGGATGCTGATGGTTGGGTATTTGAGTATAAGCATTTCAATTACACTAGTGGTCATTAAGGCTGTATATATAAACTCTGTTTATCGCCACTCGAAAATTCGTTATTCCCAAAACTAAGAATTAAAGGAAACTCGAAGCTAATATACAATGAGAGATATACTCGTACACTCTCGGCGTATATATGGATTGTTTAAAACAGTGATATGTGTTTTTAAGCTGCAAGTTAGTCAGGCCTTCTTTGTCAGAAATAAAATAATTACTTTCTCAGTACAGGTAACGTCAGTTATAGATTAACACGATGTGTTGACTGGCAGCAAGAGGGAACCACGAGTCATTATACAAGACAGGGAAACACCTTGCTTATATACAAACTGTTAAATACGATCACTAACACACAAACTATATCACCTCAGCGAAGAATGTCGCTTTGAGGAGGTGAGTCAGAGTCTTGAAATCACCACTGTCGCTTCCATCTCCAGTTTCTCAATCTGCTTCTGAATTAATTTCTCCAAAACAATAAACGTAAGCATGCATTCTTAAGCTAGTATTACTCGCCGAAGCATAACAAGTTGGCCAGACTAGTACAAACTAAACCTGCCCAACCGATAATTGCATATTTGACGGTAAATGGCACAATGCGCAATCAGTGGCATACAGTGGATATTCAAGCTTTCTCGAGACTGAAGCTGGAGACAACGTAAGAAGGAAGGAACACTGCAGCAGGCCTATTGGCCCATACATAGAATATGAGTGATCAGAACAAAATTAATGTTGGACTTCCCTCACAGTCTTGTGGCCCACCGTTTTTTAAGTAATATATTCTAAGTGATACAACGTGTATGGAGAAGTTCAGAGAAGGTTTTTAACCTTCAAAAAAAAAAAAATGCAGTCAAACGTGGTAGACAGAGGTTTTAAACCATGAAGTTTGTGCAGTAATAACTGTCATCTTGTTATGTCAAAGTCTTCTCAGTGGCCAACACTGTCGCGGTGACGAATTATATGCGTCTCGAGGCCTGAAGTATATCGTTTCTAAACTTATTAAATAATCTAGTCTGACTGTGTAAGTGCGGAAAGCAAAGCTCTGATCCTTTAACAAGTTATATAACTCTACAAAAAGTAGTGTTTTTTTTATCATTCTTTCCATGACTTTGCTGGAGCAATCAGTCACGGTAACAGGATAGAAAAGAGAAAGGGTCTATATTTGGTACTCGACACAACTAGCACATAACAAGTGTGGACACATGCTCGATGTCCAATTATTGTCGCATAAAGCATCACCAGCACAACCGAGTATTTTACCTTCACAGAATTTTAGTATTTTAGGAAAAGGCAAAGGTCGTGTATAGTGGCAAAAATTTATTGGCTTGAGATCGGACTGAACTTGGTGCTGCAAGAAAGATGGGTGGTAGTTAGTCAAGCTGGTACTGAATGCAGAACACGTCACGATGGTGGTGACTATATCACTGGGGTGTCTGGCGTTCTTAACTCTGAAGGGGAGAGATAGAGTGTTGAGCGTATTTCTTGGTGATGCAGTGGACCTGACCTAGCACGAGCATGTTTAATTTTTTTACGTTTAAACTTTCAAAAGTGCTGCATAGTGAGCTCTTTTTTGAAAATTAGGAAAAATATATTCCTAAGAGCGCTTAATTGCATTCTGAGGTCCATCAGGAAACCTTATGTCTTTGGGGAATTATCGAGGTGTAGAGAAGAGGTAAATTAGCAGCCCTCATGGTTGATAGTGTCAGGTACTGTACCGTTGTGACAATGTCTTTTCTGAATGTATCGAGCTCAGTAACTCATCAGACTAGCCCCAATCTGCTTTCTTGAAATTATAGGAGTTAACTTGAGAACAAATAGGGATGTTGTAATCATAAGATCGAGAAATGATCATGACTCAAGTATCTGCCACTGACGCCCTATGTAATGTGCTATGTCCGGAGACCAGTTCCACTGCTGTCGTTCATAAGAGTGATGTTTGAATTTAAAATTATTCTGGCAGTTTGTATACCTCTACTGTTTGTTCTGAGGTATGCCAGCTGATATTGATGGACAGTGAAATCTTCTACAGTGAGTTTAAGTTTGTCATCTGTTCACCATCAGTCAAGAATTCGTAACCCATAATTCATAACTGTAAAAATGTTGTGGTACCCGACAAATAGCATCTGATAGATAATGTGCTGTAAATATTATATATGATGATATTTGCATTTATGACAGTAAGCAAATGTGTTCAGTAACATCTTATGTGTTATCAAGAGAATGTTAGAAATTATTACATTTTGAGAACAGTGTATAAATTCATCATATGTGATATAGCAGACCTTGAATGACTTGTCGCCATGATGAGTGTAAACATAGATTTCACACATTTACCAGAGAAAATAATAAAGATCATATTTGAATACAATAGAAAAGACTTTGTAGGAAGTGTAATTAAAAAAAGACAGTAATAATTATGAATGGTTCTTTCAGTGTAAGCCACGCTTGTTGTGCCCGGTTGCTTGGACACTGTCCATTAACAGAGTAGTTGTGAGGAAACTACAACTCTAACACACTTCTTTTTAGTAATTAGTAACCGTGATTACCAATGTTCATTCATGTGCTTACATATCTGTATAATTGTCAGTGTATAAAAAAGTACAGTGAGCAGACAAATCGATAATAAATAAATGAGTGTGCATCTGCGCGTGTATCCACATGTTTGTGGTTCTTTATATAACTTTCTATCTATTAATCTATTTATCTATATATATGCAAAACAACCACTGTGAAAGAGTAGTGAAATTCCAAGTGCTGTCGTGACTTCTCACATTGATAATGTGAAAAGTCACGAAAACTCTTGGTATTTCACTACTTTTTCACAGTGGTTGTTTTGCATATTCTGATATCACCTGCTTACTGTGATCTTATTACATTATCCATATCTATCTATCTACATATATATAATATATATATATATATATATATATATATATATATATATAATTATATATATATATATATATATATATATATATATATATATATATATATTTTTATATAAATATATATATATATATATGCAAAACAACCACTGTAAAGAATAGAAATTCCCAAAGCGCTTTCGTGCTACTCAATTATAAAGGAACTATGAAAGTAAAGCATCAAAGGAAGGTTTTAAAAATGGGTCACCCCACACCTCACTATCAGATCCCCAACAAAGAAAAACCTGATGCGCGACTCATAAAAAAGGGGAACACTGCAGCGGGCCCCGCGGGGCCAAAACTGACAGGTCCTTACAAAACCCCACCAACAAACTATTCAAAAACCCCAAGAAATAAAAATTTTTTAAAAAAATATTATTTGTCCAGTGTTTTATTAAATTTCCAAATTCTATTATAAATGGTCTAATTTATATAAACTAAAGGAAATATTCATATTATTGTAAAAATGTTTTTAAAAACAAGATTCAATTATATTATGTCGACCATGGACTTGCTTGAACTACTTCTCAATTTTTTGAAAAAAATTTGGTTGTTAAAATTCTCTTTTTTATTCATTTTAAGTTTTAACTATCCAATTGTTTTCCCAAAAAAGTTGAGAAAGTAGTATAAGCAAGTCCAGGTCGACATGAATATAATTAAATTTGTTTCATTAAAAGCGTTTTGACAATAATATGAATTTTTCCTTTTGGTTTATATAATTAGATCCATTTATATTAATAAATTTGGAAAAAATTTAAAAATTACACTGGACAAAAATAATTTTTAAATTTTTATTTCTTGGGTAGAAAAGTTTGTTGGTGGGTTGTGTGAAGGACCTGTTTAGTTGGGCCGGCGGGCCCCGCTGGGAGGTTCCCTTTCTTATGAGTCGCGCTCAGGTGTTCCATTGTTGTGGGATTTATAGTGAGGTGTTGGCTAGACCCCCTTTTATACCTTCCTTTGATGCTTTTCTTTCATAGTTCCTTTTTAAAAGTGGTAGTCACGAAATCGCTTGGAATTTCTCTATTCTTCACAGTGGTTGTTTTGCATTTTCTGAAATCACCCGTTTTTTGTGACTTATTGATATATAATTAAAATTTTATATTATATTTATTATTTATATATATTTATATATATATATATATATATATAATATAATATATATATATTATATATATAGTTATATATATATAATATATATATGTATATATATATTATTTTAATTAATATATACGCAGGCATGCGTGAGCGTGTTTGATAGGAGTGAATGGAGACAATGGTTTTTAATACTTGACGTGCTGTTGGAGTGTGAGCAAAGTAACATTTATGAAAGGGATTCAGGGAAACCGGCAGGCCGGACTTGAGTCCTGGAGATGGGAAGTACAGTGCCTGCACTCTGAAGGAGGGGTGTTAATGTTGCAGTTTAAAAACTGTAGTGTAAAGCACCCTTCTGGCAAGACAGTGATGGAGTGAATGATGGTGAAAGTTTTTCTTTTTCGGGCCACCCTGCCTTGGTGGGAATCGGCCGGTGTGATAATAAATAATAAATAAATATATATATTATATATATATATATATTATATATATATATATATATATATATATATATATGTATATATATTATTATATATATATATATATATATATATATATATATATATATATATATAATATTATGTATATATATATATGTATGTATATTATATATGTATATATATAAATATATGTATATATATAAATATATGTATATATATAAATATATGTATATATATAAATATATGTATATATATATAAATATATAAATATATTATATATATATAAATATATATATTATATTATATTATATATATATATAATATATATTATATATATATATATATATATATATATATATATATATATATATATGCAATAAGATCACAGTAAACAGGTGATTTTAATATATGCAAAACAACCACTGTGAAAGAGTAGTGAAATTCCAAGCACTTTCGTGACTACTCACATTGTCAAGGAATTATGAAAGTAATACATCAAAGGAAGGCAATTAAAGGGCTAAGACGACACCTCACAGTCAACCCCACAACAAAGAAACACCTGACGCGCGACAATACCGGTCTCATAAGAAAAGAGGAACACTGCAGTAGGTCCGCTGGTCCAACTAGACAGGTCCTCACGACATCCCACTAACAAAATATTCTACCCAATAAATAAGGTTTATTATTTTTCCAATGTATTATTAAACTCTTACCAAATTTTATTAATTATAAAAGAGTCTAATTTATATAAACCTAAGGAAATATTCATATTATTTTCAAAACTGCTTTTTATGAAACAAGATTCAATTATATTTCTGTCAACCATGGACTTGCTTGATACAACTTTCTCAACTTTTTGAAAATCAATTGGATGGTTAAAATCTCTCACATGAATAAATAGAGCATAGGAATCTTGTCCAGTTCTAATGCTATATTTATGTTGTTTTAATCTTAGTTCGAGATTTTTACCAGTTTGACCGAAATAAACTTAATCGCAAATTTTCAAGGAATCTTATAGACACATCCGTCAGCATTTATGAAATAGCCATTGATCTTATATACTCGAGAAATGTAATTGATAAATCATTTAAAATTGCTAGAAATACTTTTTACAACCCAAAGAGGGACAACCAACCTTATTCAACTAAAAATACTGTAAGGAAAATGTGGTAACATTCATTGACAACTGGGACCTCTTCTATGGCAGAAATGACATGAATGCCAGGGATGGGGTTCACTTATCTAGGTGTGGGGTGGGAGCACTGGCAACTGCAGTGGAGGGAGCTGTTAGGACTTTAAACTAGGAATAGTTAGTGGTATGGGTTTTGGCAGGAAAACAGTGAAGTCCCAGTGTAGTAATATTATGAGTTCTAAAGGAACTAGTAATAAGCAGAACGAGGTAGATATTGAAAAGCCAGTGACACTAGGTGATAAGGACAGTAATAGGTTTAGTAGAAAAACAGAAATGAGCAGGAAGGGTAAAGAGAAAGGAGAGTCAATGTTTATTATGCTAATAGCCGTAGTGCTAGGAATAAGATGGACGAGTTGAGATTAGTTGCTAGTGCAGGTAACATTGATGTATTTGCCATTACTGAGACGTGGTTTAATTCAAAAAGTCGGGACATGCCTGCGGAATGTCATATTCAGGGTTTTAAATTGTTCCAAGTAGATAGAAGTATCGGGAAGAGGGGTGGGGTGGCATTGTATGTCCGAGATCGCTTGAACTGTTGCATAAAAACGGGTATTAAGTCTGAAGTAACACATACAGAGTCTGTTTTGATAGAATTTTCAGAGGGGCATGAAAAACTGATTTTAGGAGTGATATTCCGTCCCCCAAACTTAGATAGGGACCAAGGGAGAATACTATGGGAGGAAATTGTAAAGGCCACAAGGCACGATAATGTAGTAATTCTAGGAGACTTTAACTTTAGTCATATTGATTGGAATTTCTTGACTGAAAATTTAGAATCATACGACTTCTTAGAAGTAGCTCAGGATTGTTCTTTGAAGCAGTTTGTGACAGAACCTACAATGGGAAATAACCTGCTTGACTTAGTTCTGGCAAACAATGAATCCCTTGTTAATAATATATAAAATTTCAGAGGAACTGGGTGCTAGCGACCACAAATCAATTACATTTAGCATTGAATGGAAGTATGATAGTAGGGATAACTCAGTAACAGTCCCAGATTTTCGCTTAGCAGATTACGATGGGCTTAGAGAACACTTATCATCTGTTGACTGAGGTAACGAAGAGAGCTGTCAATATGACAGTTTTCTGAACACTATACATGCTGCTCAAAGAACGATTATCTCATATAAAGAAATTAGATCAAATAGAATGACCCAAAATGGATGAATAATTGGCTGAAATATCTACTAGGGCATAAGAAAGGAATTTATAGGCGTATCAAAAGAGGTGAGGGTCATCTTATGAATCAGTATATTGACATTAAGAGAGACATTAAAAAGGGGATAAGAAAAGCTAAAAGGGACTATGAAATTAAAGTTGCTAGGGATTCTAAAACTAACCCAAAAAGTTTTTTCCAGGTATATAGAACAAAAGTTAGAGATAAGATAGGTCCCCTTAAAAATAACTATGGGCATCTTACTGACAAAGAGAATGAAATGTGCTCGATTTTAAATAATTATTTTCTCTCGGTTTTTACACAGGAAGACACTAACAATATTCCAGTAATTAATTTTTATAGTGGGCCAGAAGAAGATAAATTATGTAACATCACAGTCGCTAGTGAAATGGTTGTGAAGCAGATAGACCGACTGAAGCTAAATAAGTCTCCGGGTCCTGATGAGGTTTTTTCAAGGGTTCTTAAGGATCGCAAAATGGAACTCTGTGAACCATTAACTAATATTTTTAATTTATCTCTTCAAACAGGTGTAGTGTCTGATATGTGGAAGATGGCTATTGTAATTCATATTTTTAAAACAGGGGACAAGCCGTTACCATCAAATTACCGCCCAATAAGCCTGACCTCAATTGTAGGCAAATTACTAGAGTCAATTATAGCTGAGATTATAAGAAGCCATCTTGATAAGCATAGCTTGATTAATGATACTCAGCATGGATTCACAAGAGGCCGGTCTCGTCTAACTAATTTATTAACTTTCTTCAGTAAAGCTTTTGAGGCTGTTGACCACGATAAAGAATTTGATATCATTTACTTAGATTTTAGTAAGGCTTTTGATAGAGTTCCGCACCAAAGACAAAGAAAGTGGCAGCTCATGGCATTGGGGGAAAAGTGCTCTCGTGGATCGAGTCATGGCTCACAGACAGGAAGCAGAGAGTGTCCATAAATGGGGTTAAATCCGAGTGGGGATCTGTAACAAGTGGCGCT